CTATTGTGGTCTAATATAATGTAATATTAAAACAGCTAAGAAAAATTAAACGAATTTCTCAAATTATTAAAAAAACTTATATTATGAAACGCAAACACATGTTGACATTGCATACAATTCTCTTACATGATCAATTTAATAGTCATTAATCTCTTTTTCATGATATATTTTTGTTTCGGACAAAATTATATGTGATTGTTATCATCTTGTTCTGTTATTAGTTGTATATCACTCTGAAATTTAAGTTTAATAATTTGACAAGTTTAACTATCTTAACTATCAATTCGGGATTAACACGTTTGCTTATGTACATGTCTATTTTTAATTTTAAAATTATTTGTATTGTTAATTTGTAATATAAACAATCGCACATAAGGGAAAAAACACAACAGTTAAAAATGGATAGAACATACGTTCTATTTCTTTCTAACGAAATCTTTTTTTATCAGGAATATGAATAATTCAATGTTTACATAATTTTATTAATGATTTATTTATCTCTCACATAGATCACTTAACAAAGTTAATATTAAATATGTTAATTTATTAAATAAGATAATTTCTAATTTCTCTTATGTCTTTTTCTTGTTGTCAATACGTTTCTAAAAACTTCCTCTTCAATTGTGTTGTTGAATAAGCATTATAAACTCGAATTTAATCGTCAAACATTTTTTTAGGTTACATTACATCGATTGGCGTCACTATATTTATTGAAAAATTACGAGCAATCCATAAATACTTTTAAAACTGTGATTGTAATTACATTTAACAATGTGATCACTTCCATTCAAAGTTCGTAACAACTGTTAATAACTTTAATAATTTTTCACAGATATGTTTCACCATTGAAACATCTTCACCCTGCAGGGACAATAGTCCTGAGGTTGTCAATGCAAATAATTGTACAAGTTGTAAAAAAAATGTTAAAAAAAAGTAATCAAGTTAATTTTTAATGTGTTATCCTTTCAAAATCTTGAAGATGCCTTTAGGACGCCTTCCAGACATGCGCGTTGCTCGAGAAGTTGGCTGCGCATCTCGGATGCGCTTGCGCTTCCGGTACTTTCGTACAGTGCCGCCGCGCGCAAGTCAGCGAGATACGAAATCAGTCTACGTCCGACCCCTGGCTTGCGCGTGTACGTCAGTGTGTGTACGTCCGATCGTCAGGTAACCGATTAGTGACACGCGAGTTTTCGTAGTGGCCGGAACGGTCCAACCTCTCTTACGTCGAGGTGCTTCTCGCCGGCGCGCGTCGTTTCAAGGAGCGAGCGAACGGTTCGGGTACTTTCGGTAGTTTCATCGCGGAGCATGACTGAACGAGGAGCGCACGGCGAGCAGGTATCCGCGACGAGTACCGTGAAGAGGACCTCGTCAACGGCCGGCAAGCCGTCGTGCTGGCAATACCGGCTGTTCGGCAAGCAGCTCACGCGCTGTACTCACGTCAACGACGCGAGAAAGCCGATCGACTCCGCGTTCGCCTCGCTCGTCCACGAGGACGGTGAGCCGGCTTGCGAGATCGTCGGCATGTACTTCAGCTTCGTGAATCCCGGTGCGACCTGCGACGACTTCACGCGCCAGTTAGTCGAGCTTTACGCGAGTGTCAACGGCAACGGCGGCGGCGGCGGCGGCGGCGGCGAGAAGAAAAAAGGCTCGAAGTGGTGCACGTAGTACTCTGGAGCAATGTGACCGATGTGCTCGACTTCGATGAGAGTTTTCGCGCCCATGTAGTTGATCTGCCTTGGCTGGCAATGCCGAACCGCGACTACGAGAGAAAAGTAAGCGAGCTCTCTTCTACTTGCATGCCTGTTTGAATCTCGTCGCACCGCTACCTTCCTTTCTTCTTGTATCCCCTCCCCTTTCAGTTTCTGCTTTTAAAGATATCCACGTAGCCACGTGGTGTTTCGCATGGTCGTGTCTGTACACATATATACCAATGAATTATATACCGTAGACATATTCTGTATCATGTCATTGCACCGTATCTCGCGTTGGTCTGCATCAAGAGCCCAAATACAACGAATACAGAAATAAGGAAAAACAAATTAAAACAGAATTAAGAACAGGATTAAGAGAATAAAAAATTAGAGAGTGAATATAAAGAATTAAAAAACAAGAAAAATAATTTACGATCGATAAAACAATATTTGCTATTCCTTGATTGTAT